GCGGCCCCCGAGCGCCCGTTGAGGGCTCAGCGCTGCGGGGAGGGCAGCCACAGCACCAAGCTGGCCGCGAAGCCTCACAGGGACCGAGGCGGCAGCGCCGTGCCCGGGGGTCACCGACGCCCCCGATGAGCTCGTTTCCCCGCTGTCCCTTCACCTCAGACACGCTGGGGTAAGTGGACGGGAAGAGGCTCCCGCTGCCCTCCCTCCTCTCTTGGCTCCAAAAAGCCACCTTCTCCCCCAAAAAAGAGGGAGGAGGTCAGAGCCCAAGGGGTGATGGCGGCCACACACAGCAGACACGCTGCCGTGGGGGACGCGTCCCCGTGCCACGACGGGGAGCAGTCAGGTACGACCAGGGCCATAGGACACCTCTGACCCGCCATTGCTCCCACCGTCCTCCAGAGCCAAAACAGAGCACAGGGGTTTCCTCCTTTTTTAAAAAACAGTTTCTTTTACAAGCTGTTGTTTTTCCAGTTGCTTTAGGGAGGTGGGGAAAAGCTGCTAGCTAGCACGGCGATCACTAACCCTAGAAACAGCAAGACAACCCCAGAAACGCCTCGCTCCAGGGTGCAGGGGTGCCATGGCCACGAAGCACGGTTGGGAGCGAGCCCCAAGCTGGCACCAGCCTTCTGCTGGCCAGCCAGGAAGGGAAAAATAAAAGCAACCAAAAAAAAAAAAAAACCCTAAAAAGAGAGAGGTAGAGATTCAGAGAGAGATTTCCTCTAAAAACGCAGCACTTCCACATTCAGCGTTTTCTGTTGCCGCGCTTTCGCTACCCCAGCGGCAGCCCCACCGCCATCCCAGCTAGCGCTGCCAGTCCTTTCACACGCTCGGGTTTTGTCCCTGCTCTTTGTCTCTGTTTGCTGTTAGTTTTGTTCACTTTGTTACCCAGCCCCTAAAAAGCCACAGAGGAAATCAAATCGACTAGACATAATTGTACTGTTTATGGAAACGAACACAAAAATCGAAGGGCTAAAACACACAGAAATGCATTCTACCAACAGAACGAGTAAACGAGGAAGAGAAAAGGGAGGAAAGAAAAAAAATTACATGGACAGAAAAAAAACCATAAAAGAGCATGGCTTTGTAGCTAATTGGGGGGAAAAAAATACAAAATAAAAAATTATATAGAGCCACCAAAAAGAGACAAAATGAAAGAGACAGAGAAAGAGAGACGGAGAGAAAGAAAGAAAGAAAGAAAATAACATTAAATCAAGCTACGGTGCTTTTCAACAGGCTCATCTGCAGAAGTGAACGTGCAGAGGTGGACGAAATACCTACCTTCTGAATTGTCAGTGACAGGAATGCAATAATAAAAAAAGAAAACAATAATCTCCACATTTGGAGTGCAGAATGGGAAAAAGACAATGACTCTTTAGTAATGTGATTTAGACCCCTTTGCTAATAAAGCTTGCTTCGCTTAGATTTTCAATTTTTTTGGTCTCATTTGAATTTTTTTTTTTTTTAAAGTGGAAATCCTCTGGCAGGCAGCCAGACGCGGCGGGTTTGCTCGCTTGCGTGCGTCACCCGGCCTCTACACAGCAGCACCGCGTTTCTGTCTCAAAAAGGCGCTACGCAACATTACAAAGTCCCAAACCACATGCAAGTAAAGCAACGGATGGAGGCAGACCATGTCAAGGTTCGTCGGGTCGTTTTGGCACCGGCAGCAGCTCGGAGCGGCCCAAAGAAAAAAAACAACAGAAAGAAGTGCTGGAGAGAGTGCGTGTGGGAGAGAGAGAGCGCGAGAGAGAGGAGGAAGAGAGAGGAGAGGGGAGGAAGAACGAGAGAGCGCGAGGATGGAGGGGAGCCAGCCGGCGGGGGGACGCATGGAGACGGGGACTGTGCATTTAAAAGGGAAGTTGAGTCTTCAGGGCGAAAGCGACTCTTTGGGGCGTCCCCCCGGCACAGCGGGGAGGGCGATGGGACTCAGCCCCACTTTGACCCGTGCCTGCGAAAGGCGCTCGGCGCCGGCCGCCAGCCTCGCCTGGCGAGAGCGGCGATCAGGGACTAAATATAAGGAGGCAAATGGCAATTTGCTTCTCAGTTTTGCAGAGCCCGATGGCCTTTTGCTTTAGATCGGTACAGTTACCTTCCCTTTTAAATCCCTTGGTCAAAATATAGAAATGGAAATACAATGTTCAACGGTTGTAAGTATTAAGAAAACACATCTGCTTTTTTTCGTTTGTTTGTTTTTTTCTTCTCCACATTAACACACACAAAAGCAAAAAATTCTAGAACAACACAACGACGACAGGAAAAAAAAAGAAATATCGTTTGCATTTCTGTACATCACGAAGGAAAAAAAAAGTCATAATAAAGGAAACTAAACAAGGAGGAAAAAAGAAAAAGCATGTTTCATTTCCCTTCCCTCCCCCTCTTCCCTGCTTCTGCTGAGCAAGAAATGGAATTGTATATTACCGTTTGGGTTTTTTTCAAATGGGAGGCTAAAGAAAAACACAGATGGGATTAAAAAAAGAAAAAAAAAAGAGAGAAAGAGAGAGAGAGAAAGAGAGAAAGTTGTTGGAGAAAAGTACCACTAGCGCCCGGGAGCAGGAGGAGCTCGGGGGCCTGGGCGATGCTCTCCTGCGCAGGGGAGCACCGCGGGGGACCTCGGCACCCCAGGCGATGGTGAGGCAGCCGGAGGGCCGACGGCAGCCCACGATGGGGACGGGAGGTGTCCCAGGATGGCTCTAGGGCACCACCAGGTGCCTTGGCTCAGCCCTGCCTCCATCGCCCATCCTGCCCTGCCCCAGTAGCTGAACGGGGCTCGTCTCCACCCCGGCAGTAATTAAGCTGGGCGGCTCTTTTGCCATGCTGGCTATGCCTTAACGTGAGCACTTTTATTATGGAAATAAACCCTCGAAGCAGCAGGGGCTTCGCCGGGCCCCGGGGAATGAGGCACAGCCAGGGACAGGCAACCCTGGGACAAGCTTCCACGGACACCCTGAACTCCTAAAAGCTGAGTGCCCAGCGCCAAACCAGCCTGTCCTGGCCTAAACCCTGTCCCCAGACTCGGGGGCAGGCCAGGCTCCGCGGTCCAGAGCCCTGGGGTCAACACCTTTGCCTTGGTGGTGGCAGGGAAATAATTTTTCCAGCTTTACCCATTTCTTGACTGACTGGGCTCAAAGCAGAGGTGCCGAGCCCGGTGGTGGCCCTGGCAGGCAATGCCAGCCCGCGAGCGATTGGGTGCCGCTCGCCGGGGCGGGATTTGGCACCCAGAGAAACACTGGTGAGCGTCATGGCCGGCGTGTCCCTGTCTGGGCGCCAGCTCACGCCTGCGAAGCCGGCGGGGACCAGGAAGGGGCAGTCGGATCGCGGCGGGGCTTTGCCCCACAGGGCCGGGG